TGCATTACTTTCCCAGCTGAATCACAAGACCACTATTAGTGGAGTTTCCTACAATCAAACCGCCCTCCCATCATGCTTAATAGGAGACTTTTTTAAATAGACCATAGAAAAAGTCGAGATCTGCTCTTCTACAGGTTCAGACTAGATTTCACTGGAGATCAAGCCAAACTTTTAAACCAGCACAGATGAAGGTTATATTTGTAACTTTTGTATTAAAGGCCTATTCAAGACATGAAAAAAAAATCACCTTATGCTACTGGTATGACAGCTCTTACCTGTAGGCCTGGCCAGTAGGCCTCCAGGGACTGAAAAACAGGCATGGACACTGTTCCTTTGTACATCTGAACCCAGAGGTACCAGTCATCAAACTTTGTGTAATTTTTGATAGCTTTGTTATATTCTATAAAGAAACATAGATGGGTAGATCATCCAACAACAACAACAAAAAAAATATCTTTTTTTTTTTTTTTTAAGACTGAGAGAAGCCCCTTTTTCACTTGAGCTATGTCAAATGAATGACTTCTCAGGACTTTCACTTCGGTAACTCTTTGTTATCACCGATCGTTCAAAAGTATTACAACAAATGCCTCAGGAACACTCTTGAATGCATCCCGTTAGATTCTCCATCTCCTTTTTCTACAGTCCCATGTGCAGCATTTTCATAGGTGCAGTCAGGGAGGCATTTCTGGGACCCTTCCCACAGAAAACAAATTGCTCACCTAGAAACATGGACATCAGCTCCTTGTCCTGCAGCAGAATGGCTCCTTTGACAAGGTATTCAAAGTAGGAGTCCACTCCAGCCCCAATGCCAGCATCTTGAGCCACCCATTTGGCAGTTATCACATCAATGTGGTTACCAACCTGGAAGAAGCAAGGAGAGGAGGAAAGAGGAAGTTAGAGTAGAAATAAAGCTCCACAACTCCACAAGAAAACCTTGACCTTTTTTCAGACTATCCGTGTCACAGATTCACAATGCCCACACCAACCAGCATTTTCTCCTGTCTCCTAAAGACACATTTATCACCACCAGAGAAGTACAAAGTGTAGAAAATACAACTTTGGAATTTTATGCTTCCAATATAAACGCTACAGTGGCATAAACAAAACACCATTGTGCTACTTTGAAAATGCACAATTTCAATAAGATGTGTCTGGTCCTAATTCACATCCTACAAAAGAGCAGCAGAGGATGAAGATGTGCAGGTACAGAGATGGAGGCCAAGGATGACAAAGGCATGAGAGCTGCCATGCTAACATTTAAATGGATTTTTCAAACCTGGGGCTCTTAGGTCTAGAAAGAGACTACCTGATGAAAAATAAAATACCCAATGGTGACTTGCTTAGCAAAGATGAAAAAAACCCAAATCAGCTATTCAGTTTCTCTCTTGAACAAAGATTAGGGGCATAAACCAAAAATAAACAGATCCCAAAGCAAACAAAAAGAAAACACTGCTTTATACAGTGTATGAATAAATCTGTTCCACTTCACATATCGAACACTAGGACTTCACATAATTTCTGGAGCTGCTTTTTGAAGCTAACTGAAGAGAGACTGCCCAGGAGATAGTGAACACAGAGAAAATGCTTTAGCTCTGGATATTCCTAAAATACCAGAGCTGTAGAGGCTCCTGTTGCACTTGCCATGCTCTTATTCTCTTCCGTAGGCACACAAAGCATTAGACAGACCTTTTATTTAATCTGTTACAGCTGCTGCTACAATAACTGCAGTACCCAGCAGAAGGCATTTGTCTCCCAATCACATCTGTTATGGAACAGAACAATGGCCTAATGTTGGGTTCAACGACTAAAGCTGAGATGTGGATGCTGCGGTGGTCGGGAACAACGTCAAACAAGCAACTTCAGCCCAGTTATTACACTGACCTTATTTATCTAGTTCTATCTCATCTCTCTTTCTGCTTCTTACGCATAGAATTGCATCCACAAAACTATACAAAAAGCAGGGCAGCAAATTCAAAGTCCAGTCCTCACTCACCAGCCCAATATCTGAGCGATTTTTCCACAGTGCCTTCAAAGCCTTCCTGGCGACGTCCTCAAACACCGGGTCACCAGTAAGGTGGCTTAAAGTGGCAAATTCCACTATAAATGTACCAATTCCAGCAGTACAGGTAACCGGGGTCTCCCCAGGGTTTACTCCGTGCAGCAAGTTCACTGTTCCATATGGCATCCCCGTTGGGGTCTGAAAAGCTGAAATAGAGTATTTTTGGTTCACATGAGTGTTCACTGTTACATCTGACAGACTGTCAAGCAAACACGTGCCTCACATTCCTCTGCACAAAGGCAAGAAGAGGGGCTGGAGCAACTGGAATAACCACAAAGAAGGAAATGAAAAGTAGAGGGTGATCCTGGGAGGGGCAGAGAGTATACACCAAGCTACACAGTCCTGGGAAGGTACTGCAGGTCTCTTCCACCGTGCCCACAGCAGCAGACCGCATCCCAACTTTGTTCACAGCACGGGCAGGGTAATCAAAGCAGAACTGCATCCACTGGCCAGCAAAGTGCCAACACCGAGCTTGTGGTTATTCAGTGGCAGCCCAGGGTGCACACCACAGAAGGAAGCAGTGCCACGCTGTCAGGGCATGCGTCCCAGCCCACAGAGGAACAGATAAGGCTGTATCTTCCTGTCTTTACAAGCTGCTGATTCACACCCTTTATTTATTATTCATATTAAATATATTTCCCATCATCAAGCAACAAACAAACTGATGGGTTAGGTGCATACAACACTTGGCACACGTATATACAACTGGTATCATGCACCTCACAATGTTTTCCCTGCAAAATAAACTCCCTTTGAGCTCAGGGAACACAGGTATATATTATGAATTCACACAACAAGCAGCCCCATCTCCACCAAACACACCAGTCAACCTCCCAAACTACAGCACAGCGACACAAACCAGACACGTTCTCACCCGGCAGGAGTTTTCGAGCTGCTTCCTCTGCCATCCTGAGGAGAGGTCCAGAGCATGGCCAGCCTGCTTCCACTGCAACACCAGCCTTCTTCGACAGCAGGTGAGCCGAGAGGAGACCACCCACCACTGGAAGGTGCACAGCAAGAATCCCATTAAAGAACGTGGGGGAGGAATGAAATCTGAAACCAGTCCGATTTATTTGCACTTGTCATGACGCAGAGGCATCATGATAAATACACATAAAGATTCTTCTTTCTGGAGAAGTGAGATGGCTTATCTTTAACACCATAATTCAGTATGCCACAAAAGAACAGTGGTTTGTTTCTTCCTGCTTGTTTGCAATGGCTAACAGATATATATCTTCCCACATTTTAGAAGTATCAGATTCTACTTGCCCTACTTGCACTGCCCCGCAGACAATCAGTGAGCTCACAATATAATGAACACAAACTTTTATGAGAGGAGTTCTGTGTCATTTCTTCAAGATAACTTAATACTATGTTTACATGAAGTAATAGAGAGTACCTTCTTAAATTCCTTGGAGAAAAATATCTAGGCCAGAGTCTAGAATTTTAGAATCATAGAATCATCTAGGTTGGAAGGGACCTTAAAGATCACCTAGTCCAACCATCAACCTAACTCTGACAAAAAAAACCCCATCACTAAACCATGTCCCCCAGCATGTCAACCCATCTTTTGAAGACCTCCAGGGATGGTGCCTCAACCACTTCCCTGGACAGCCCATTCCAATGTTTGATGACCCTTTCAGTATAAAAATTTCAGTGCAACTAACATAGGCAGGGAGTCATCAGCCCTTTTCACAGGCTTGCCTACAGGCACATAACAAGCACAAATCAGAGAAATTACTCTGCTGCAAAAATTGGCTCATCAATATTTGACAGGAGAAACAAAAAAAAACCAAAAAACATAACTAGCAGTTTTGTGCCCTGTCAATGTCTTTTAGCTGGATGACACTGAAGAAGTTCAGCGTTCACCCGGGTACAAGACACCAAAGGCCTTTGCAATATTCAATAAAAAAAGACAAGTCTCACTGTACGACACTAAAACAAGGAATTAATAATTTCTATTCCAAAACAGTACGTAAAAAAAAAGATAGTGTATAATTCATCCTGTTTCAGTGGAAAAGATGTTTATTCCAAAGCTTAAGACCCAACACCAGAATACTGAAAGTGCCACGTCTACTTCTGCTTGTGTTGAGGCAGGAAGCAGAAAGGTGACATGCAAAGACAAGAAGGAAGTGACATTTGTTAGGGATTTTTCTGTGTGTTTACGTTTCCTGTTACACTACGTTACAAATTCACTCTGACCGCTCCCTCGTGTTACAGTTCAGAGACTCCTATGGGAGGGAAATCCAGCATAAACACCACAGAAAAACCCAACTCACCTCGAATATTAGTTTCAAAGACAGATGCATTGACATCAATATCAAAATCCACCCCTTCCTGCAGGACATTGACCACTCGCTGGAACTCAGAAACGTTTCCCAAGATCTGCAGGGGGAGCAGGACAAAAGAGCACAAGGTTTAACATTCACAGGAAAACAAAGGTGCAGTTCAACATTAGGGGCTAATACTAGTTTTGTTTTACTGTTTTGCGAAATCACTGATTACAAACAGTACTAAAAAAAGCAACTGACAGTTTCATCTCATCTGAAAACATTTTCTTTACACACTTTAGGCCTTTACTGCAGACTGAGGTGGTGTCAGGTGTGTTCCTTTTAGAACAGGGTAATCAAAGCAGAATTACATCCACTGGCCAGCAAAGTGCCAACACTGAGCTTGTGGTTATTCAGTGGCAGCCCAGGGTAGCAAAGCGCCAACATTGAGCTTGTGGTTATTCAGTGGCAGTCCAGGGTGCACACCACAGAAGGAAGCAGTGCCACGCTGTCAGGGCCAGCTTCCTCCCAGGGCTGGAGGGAAGTGAAACATGAAAGCTCCTTGGTCAATTAATAACTGACTTTCTGTCACTACCGACTACAAACAGCTGTGGAAGTGGCTGGCAGCGGCCTTGAGCGGGCTGAAGGCCGGGTTCCAGCAGCACGCACAAAGGTGGGTTGCAGGACAGCTCGTACTCACCAGGAGGGTGTCCAGGGCATCGATCAGCGTGAGAGAGAAGCTACGAAGGCAGAGAAGCGAGGTGAGGCCCGGCGGAGGGGGCTGAGGCCGGGACACCCGGCAGCTGGGCGCCCCGGGCCCTGCCTCGCAGCGGGTGGGGGGGAGATGCCCCGCCTCGGGGCCGGTCCGTACCTGCCCCAGGTGTCCTGCCCGTCGCACGTCAGCGGCCGCAGCTCGTCGTAGGGAAAGGCGCTTTCCAGGTAGTGCTCGTAGGCGTGGTAGAACATGGCGCGCACCCTCTCCCTGAGGCACAAGCACAGGCCCGTTCAGCCTCGCTCCGCCCCAGTCCGGCCCCCGCCGCCTCGGCCCCGCACTCACCGGTAGGAAGCGACATCCAGACCGCGGGCGGCCGCGCCGGAGCCAGCCGGGGCCGCCGGGAGCCGCAGGGCCCAGAGGCAGAGGAAGGAGCCGAGGGAACGCAGCATGGCGGCCCCCACCGCCTCACCGCCACCCGCCCCGTCCCCTCCAGCCAGCCAGCCAATGGGAGCGGCCGGAGTGGGTGGCGCATGCGCACGGCACCGGAAGTGCCCTGCGCTGCGCGTCTGCTTCCGGGGCGACGCGGGGCTGAGGGGAGGCAGCGGGTGGCGGGGCTGTCACTGCCGTTATTGTCGCCGGGACTGTTAATAACTGCGGTTACCCCCGTACAGAGGGGAGAGGTTTCTGCTCTACTGTACCGGAGGGTGTAATTCTCCGTCGCAGGGGCAGGAAGGGGCCTTCTGGGGGGGTCGGAAGGCCCTGAGGGAGCTGGCAGCGCTGGAGGTGTAATTCTCAGACCTGAAAATAAATGTAACAAACGCTGTGACGTTTTTATAGTAATGACACGTTACCTGCGATGGTGCCAGCTGTTTGGGACGGTGCTTGTCCTGTGTAGGGGGAGGAGATGGTTCCTGGCACCACTCGGTGGCGATTTCTGTCTGGATGTGAGCTGTGAAACGGCCAGGAATATTTGTGAATCGGTTGGGAGGATCCTGGCCCATAAGCCTTCCTCCTGATGAACCACCCCCATACCCTTTCTCCCTCTAATTCCCTGTTGCGGCAGGGGAGGTTTAGATTAGATATTAGGAAGAATTACTCTCTTGAGAGGGTGGTCAGGGACTGGAACAGCCTGCCCAGGGAGGGGCTGGAGTCGCCATCCCTGGAGGTATTTAAGAAACGTGTAGACGTGGCACTTCAGGGCATGCTCTAGTGGCCAAGATTGCTAGTTTTTGTCTGTCTGTGGGTGGGTGTGGGGGGTGTGTGGTTTTTTGGGTTTTTGTTTTGTTGGTTTTTTTGTGTGGTTGGACTCTATGATCTTAAAGGTCCCTTCCAACCATGAATATTCTGTGATTCTGCAATTCAAATCCAGCTTTTGGTGAGTTCTGCGTGATGCCTCAGGACCTGCTTCAGAGAAGCCAGTGCCCAAGCCTGTGCGTGGAGCCGCGTAGCTCTGCCACCTGCTCTCCACCTGCATCTTTAGGCTTTGATTGATCCACACTAGATCCTTCTCTTTCTTCCCCATCCCTGCCCATAGGTGAGGAGGAGTGGGGTGGGGCCCTGGCAGGGGAGAGCTGGAACAAGAAGAGAAGTGATAAGTCGGTCCTTTGCCTGGCAAAGGTGCGGTGTGTAGAAATCAAAACTAAATCCACTTGCGCCCAGGAGAGGAGGGGGCACAAATAACCCAACGTCGGCGTTTAGTGTCAGGGCGGGCTGGCTGTTGTTGATGTTTTTCAGTAAAATAAACCCATTTTACTCCGAGGCTCCTCGCCCTGGGCTGTCCCGCTAGGTGTCAGTGCTGGCTCGTGTGCGGGCTGCCCGCAGCTCTGCTGGGTGGCGGCAACAGAATAGCCAGCCAGTCATTTCCACATATTGTTCATTTGCTGCAGCTGTGATTTAGGTTTCTAGGGCCATTTATCATAAAGCTGTCTGCTTTCTTATTCCATGGCTCAAGGCTGCCGGAGTATATCTCTCTGCGTTCCTGGGAGAATCAAAGTACTGGAGTTGATTTCACTAAAAGCTGTCACACTACATTACTGGGGCGCATTTTATTAAAGTTCATTTTCCAGACTTAAATTTAACAGTGTTCTAGACCACTGTCATTTACCATATACCCGAACAGTCATTTCTCTATCAAAGTCAGTTATTGAATTCTGAAAGTTGACCGAGGTACTTTTGAAACAGATGCGGCGTGTGAGGGGAAAGGAAAGCAGGATGAGACAGAGGCAGAGCTCCGCCGTGTCTCTCCACCGCCTTCCGAGGGAGAGCTGGGAAGGTGGGAGAGCACGGCCACCGTGGCCATGGGGGAGGCTGACTCCACGGCGGCAACACCACAAGCACTTAATTGCACTAATTGAAGCGTGGTAGTTAGTTGCTGCATGCCACTAAGAGTTTGTAAAATATTTTAATGGGGAAAAATGCAGCTGACTCGTAACAGAGTTGAGCTGGAAGTGAGCTCAACTGCAAAAGAGCTTTCTGTCTCTCGACCTTGGCTTGAGACCTGGGACTCTTTAGCCTGGAGAAGAGAAGGCTGAGGGGAGACCTTATTCTACATTCTATTCTAAAAATCAGTGTTTAGAAAGCGTTCTCATGAATGATGTTTTGCCATTGAGTCAAACGATCGCTTTGGTTGAAACATGGCTTTTTCAAACAAACCCCTTATATTTTTCTGAAGCTGTTCTGGTAACAGCTGGTCGTATCATTTCCCCTCTCCCCCTCTACTCTGCATGGGTGAGGCCACAACTGGAATACTGCATCTAGCTCTGGGCTTCCCAGTTCAAGAGAGACAGGGAACTGCTGGAGAGAGTTCAGCGAAGGGCAACAGAGATGATGGAGGGATTGGAGCATCTCCCTGATGAGGAAAGGCTGAGAGAGCTGGGACTCTTTAGCCTGGAGAAGAGAAGGCTGAGGGGGGACCTTATTAATACTGACAAGTATTTAAAGGGTGGGCTGAAGGAGGAGGGAGCCAGACTCTTTTCAGTGGTTTCCAGTAACAGGAGGAGGGGCAACGGGCACAAGCTGGACCATGGGAAGTTCCACTGAAATATGAGGAAAAACTTATTTCGGGTGAGGGTGGCAGAGCCCTGGCAGAGGCTGCCCAGGGAGGGTGTGGAGTCCCCTTCTCTGGAGATCTTCAAGACCCACCTGGATGCTCCTGAGTGATGTGCTCTGGGCAACCCTGTTTTGGCAGGGGAGTTGGGCTAGAGGATCTGTAGAGGTCCTTTCCAACTTTGACAATTCCATGATTCCGTGACCTTCAAGGTCTGGTGAGTAGCAAGGACCAAAACAAGCGATGGGCAGAGGATGGTGTAAATGGGACTGAATCACTGCTCCAGAGTGAGAGAGCAGTGGCTGGGAGGGCCAGCTGGATCAGAGCTGGGCTGCTTGTGGCAAAGCTTTTAGTGCAGCGCTCATCACCCTCCTCACCCTTTCTGAGAGCGTTTTGGGCAGCTGAGCTCCCTGGAGAAGATTCAGGAGCCAGCCGGGGCTGTCTCCTCCCAAGTGTTTGCTCCTCTGCCTCCTGAAACCCCCAGGTTTTTTGCAAGCCCCACAGAAGCACGGTGACACCGCTGTTGCCACCACTGAGGGGTTGAGAAAAGTGGCTGTGAAGCGCCGGGTGGGAGCAGCCCCCGTTGTCAGAGGGGATGGTGTCGTGCCACGGCTCAGGGTGTCAGACAGCCCGGGCTGGTGATGCCTCTCAGCCCCCAAACGTGGGACAACCAGCCGTTTCTGGGCGGTGTGGCACCATCCGCGTGTTAATAAATACAAATACAGCTGGTGGGATGGAAATTATTTGGGGGAAAGAGTGGTTTTCAGTGGGGCTGTACCATGTGCTAGAGGAATATTAATCTGACATCACACATGTTATATGGGCTTTGATGCAATAAATGGAAGAAGATGCAGCGCGCGGTGCTTTCAAATGGACAGAGCAGGTTACTGAAATATTTAGGCCGCAGCAGAGTTAAGTGCTTCTTCAGATGCCTCCCTCCGGCTCGTCAGGCTTTCTGTCTTTATGAAAAGGCCACTGGCAAAAGAATCTGAAGTTTCATTTGGATGCGAGGGAGGCTGTAATTACAGGGGCGTTTAACACTTTGCTTTATGACACCTTTAGGCGGAGGACTTGTTTACTACTTGCTATTACCATAAGTGGTGCTGTTGCCCTGCTTGCAATTTTGATGCCCATTAAGATGGAAACTGTATGTAAATCAGGATGGCCCATTAATATTTATAATTCATGGGGGAATGTAGGAGTTTGTCTGTTATGAGAAGAACCGTAAACAGGAGTTTTATGAATACCGAAAACTGTTGCTAAGGTGGTTCTCTTGAAATAATTTTCCTTTGCAGCCCAACATCAATTCTTAATTTTAGTTGCACACGTAGCAGGATGGAAACGATGATTGATTTTTCTCCAAGTGCTGTGGGCTGCTTCAGTCGAGATTTCACTATAAAAGACTAGACATTTCCAATTGCTTTTTATAAGTTCAGAATTGATTTTATTTGTTTAGCACCTGACTAACATAATAAAAGAGAGAAAGAAATACAGCCAAATATAAGAGAGGGAAAGCTGATGGACTACCTGGTTTCTGGCCCTCCTTTTGGTGCCATGATTTCAGGCCGCGCTGTGATTTAAAAGAGAAGGAGCTGGAATCCCAGCCGCCTGGCTGTGCCTGGTGACGTGTCCTGGTGCTGCCCAGCCCTGCTCTCCCAGGTGGGGGATACGGACAGACACGTGGCACCAAGACAGCACTGGGCGAGCAGAAACCACGGTAAAAGCTGAGAAAGGGAGAGCTGACAGAGCATCACTCCACCCCGCAGTTTCCCTGGCTTCGACTGATTCTCTTTAAACCTCTTCTTACTTTTTTCTTTCACTAACTTTAACTAAGGAATGTGGGTGCGGGAGCTGTTGGTTGGCAGCAAGCAGAGAATTGATGCAGCGAGGGCTCCCGTTCCAAACAGGGAGCCATTTGCACGGCATTCGCAAAGAATTGTGGCTCTGTGTGGAGTTTGAATATTTTACGCGTCTGGCTTACTGTTGGGATTTTGACAAGT